TTCGGTTCGGATTTACCGAACCGTTTGCCCACCCCTACCAATAAGGTATATGTGAGCATATCTCTCCACCTCCTCCGCTGTGACATTATCATCCAACTCTCTAACGTGTTTTGTAAGCCAAGGATTGAGAGCATTAAGTTGTGAAGTGGAAGTTGCCTCATTTGGCGGACACCTCCGTTCGCACATTGGTACCCAGGTGTTGAAGTATGAATGGACCCCACCCTCCTATCAGTTTTGTCAAAATCCCAATGATGGCCTCTACAGCTATTGTAAACTCGGTGAGTTGGGCCACATCCTTCAAAGTGATTGCCATTTCTCCCTCAAGAAACTAGAAGGTATGCCCCTCTTTCCTCCACCTCTCCACCAAGGATGTAAAGAGATTGTTGTCAAACTCCATCTTCACGAAGTGTGATAACACATAAAAGTATCCATTCTAGACCTTTGTATTGTGACCCAAAGTGCATACATTTATGATAATTAGCATCATAATACCTTGAATTTATGTTATGATTTCTTTAAGTGTGTTCTAGCAACCCTAGGATTGCTTTTATACGATCGATATGCTTTCGGTAGCGTTTTGTGTATTTTCAGGTCAAAGCAAACCAATGGACCACTTAAAAGCCGCAGGGGACATCAAGATTGATTTGATGGAGCTGGTATTCGAAGACGGGAGGCCTGGAAGAAACAGCGCCCGGAGCGCCATTTTGATGAAGGAAACACCAAAAATGGCACAAATTTGGAGAAGCCAACCACTTCGTCAGGAAGTCATCTTGAAACCTCCTAATTCGCTGGCCACGTATTTGGAGAATCCTGATTGGTTGAATGTCGTTGGAGCTGCGAGTTTACCTCCTCAAGCCTAGTCAAAGGCCTTTAATTAGGTCTCTAGAGATAGGAAATAAATGAAAAGGAGACAAGAGGTCAAGGAAGGGTCGTTAGTCTACAAATCGAGAGACCCTCTTGACTTAGAACGAGACCAACCTACGAGGGAGAAACGGTGCTCCTAGGCATGTTTTCTCTATCATTGGTGTCGTTTCCTATTGGTGTTCTGGTGTCTTCATTTCAGTCGATGAACACCTTGGAACCCTTCACCATGGCTCACTAAGTTCCTTAGTTGCGTAGGTATGTGAATCCTATGGATTCTAACCATGTAAACTCGATGTTTGGTTTAATACGATTGTGCTTATTTCATATGTGTGATTTTTTATCCCCTCTATTTTGTATTTCTCGATTCGAATGAGATCTTAAGTCGACCTTGCACTCATTCGAAGTGCAAGGATAGAAATCCAAGTAAGTTAGGATGGAAATATAAATAGCTTTCCTAATGGATCAAATATCATTCGATCGAACGGTGTGATGCCTCAAGGGTGAGATCTGACGTGTCCTTGTCTCCCATTACTTCGGGTAAATGCTTTGACACAAGGTGGGATCTAGTGAAATAAGAAATCGGAAGCCCATATGCCATCGATCATCGAGGGAGGCATGGTCAGCAGACCTAGTGGAGCTTGCCTATGCAATGCCTTCCTTCTCTAATCTCTCACTCATCCATTAGTATTAGATTTACTTTTTCGCACCACCTTACTTTTCGAACTCTTATGTTATGCAAAAGCTAGAGGCACCTCAACCTCCTAAACACGATTTCTTCTTCAATAGAACCATACCTCGCTTCCGAAGCAAAGGTTCCGGGTTTGAGTCCCGGGCAACCCATTAGAACTATTTATACCTATTGTACTATCATATTGATATTATATGATATAGGATTTTATATGTGTAGAAAAAGACATGAAATCATAAAGTTATCTCTCCTAAAGATATAGGGGGGCTGATATTGGTTGACACGGGTATATAAGTCATGTTATACTGTTGAATAACAAGCACTTTTTCTATGATTTCTATGTAAATAGAATAATGTGCTTGGGAGTCCTTGATGATTAAATAAACCAAGATTTTAACCATGACTGCAATTTTAGAGAGACGCGAAAGCGAATGCCGAGGACATCTCGCAGTCTTCAAAAAAAGGGAACGATGCACACATTCTATTGTTTTTTTTAATTCTTATTTTACTTTTCTCTTTCGTGTCAAGTCAATGTTTGTACATTTCAAGGAATAAGAAAACCGGCATCCGAGGTGCTGAATTTCCTTCTGTTTTTGATGCTCGAAGCATCGTTCTTGGTGGAAGTTTTTTCCGAGTAGTGATCGCATCTCATCCTAACTTGCAACTGTCCACTCTCCACATTAATCCACACGAACATGAATTGAGGTTTTCGGAGCTTACGAGCCTAGAACCATGGATAGTTGTCGTTGGGCATCATTCAAGTTTGGCATGCTCGAGGCACGCCTCGATGCATTCGAGGTGGTTGGCATTATTGATGACTATGGGGGGATAGAGAACTCCATCATGCAAGATATCCAATACATGAATCCCTTCTTTGGGTTCCCTCATGAGAATTCGTTCAACCATCTCTAAAAAGTTCAAGATATGTTTGAATCTAAACAGCATTTCGAAGGGCACCTCATACAGGATCATTTCGCTTTTTCCCTATACTCTAACTGATGGCGCCAAGAGATGGTTCAACAAATTGCCCTATGAATTTGCCCTTACTAGGTAAGAGTTAGTTCAAAAATTTCTCGAAAAATATGCTCCGATATGGAGCAACTATATGCTAGCACAACGAATTCTAAATCTCAAGCAAGGGGATCCAGAGCCTCTCTGTGAAGCATGGGAAAGATACATGGGGTATGTCGATGACCACCCCAGTCATAAGTTTGAGCCCATTCAGCTCGCTCATAAGTTCGCTGATGGACTGAACCATGAGTAAGAGCAATTTTTACACTTTGTCTCTGGGGGAAATATCTGAGAAGTTCCCAAGAATCAGATGATGGGGCAATTCGCATATGTCACTGAGCTATCTCGAAGGAGGAGTGTACTCATGCCTCTAGGCAAAAGCTATCCTTCTAATGTATAGTCAAACTGGTGGGCAAAAGGCGATCGTGGCAATAGGATCATCGATTACCCTCAACACATGGATACTCCCCATATCAACTTATGGGTAGGCATCAATAATCGAGTCACCACTAGTAGAGACTGTGAATTTAATTTCCTCGGTCGAGACAAAAGCTCCAAATAAGAATCAAACCATAGAGGAGATGGAACACAACCTCGCCATTATTTAGGCCCACCTGATAGAGATGAAAGTCGAATTCGTCAATTTCGGCAACGTCCTGACCAACTTAGGTGGTGAGGAAGCTATTCTGCCCCTACTAACGGAAACCTCAAAAACTCCAAACCTTATTCAGGCATTAGGAGGTTTAGTTATAAAGGAAGAACCTCGTGACTCCACGCCACGGATGCTTACCTCCAGTGATGTACCACTGGACATCCTTATCAAGCCCCCCCTAAAAGAGTCAGATTTGGGGAGGTTAAGCATTTTGTGCAATATAAATGACTACTACATACAAGATGTGCTTATCGACGCTGGATCCAACGCCAATGTAATGCCAGTTGCCACATACTTGGCAATAGGAGGAGGAGAGATGGAAGGCGAGCCTCTTAGCCTTCAATTAGCGAACGGATCAACATGTGATGCGAATGGGGTTTCGTGAAACATCAAGGTCATCATAGAACCCTTGATCTTTAACCACGACTTCGTGGTAGTCGAAATGCAGCTGAACCAAAGGAATGGAAAAAGTAAACTACTGTTAATATAGCATTTCTTTTCTTTCATTGTATGTTGGACCTTACTTGTTGGATCTTGTTTGTGTTGTTTGGAGTAAGTACAGGTGGTGTATGATCCGAAGCAATTTGACACCCTTGAAGCCACAAGACAACAACATCAACTAGACTCTCCGACTACTTGCACGTGAGAGGGAGCTAAGGGTATTAAGGGAGCGATTGTTGAATCGGGCTCAACCCAAAGTTCAAGAAGGAGTTCAAGCTGAATAAGAGGATATAACACCCCGATATTTGGATTCAGGTTCGACCATAATTAATGAACGATTGAATTGAAGATTACGTACTAAGGGATACAATCGTGGATTAGGAATAATGATAATAATAATAATACTATAAATAATAGTTATTATTATTAATTATAATTAAGGGGAGAAATCAACCCCACCCGTTACTCTAACTCTCGGAGTGCAGGAGATTAGCTTAGGGTTTACTTTAGGTTTTGGTTTAGGTTAATTTTAATTCTCAGACAGGAGGGGTGGCTTAGGAAATTTAAAAATCATACGGGTATTACCTAACCTATAGTAGCGTGAGACAGGAAATGAGTATCTACTTACAACACGCCCCGTTCTTTAACCATTCTATCTTAATTTCCAACATTATCTATTTGTATTTCTTTGACCTATTTTGACTTTAATTCACCTAGTTATACTTGATCTTTCAACTAATTAGACTCAGTTACCCACATTATATTATCACTATTTTTCATTAATAAAGTGTATTATTTTCAAACAACATATTAGAATGAGTCTACCAATCCCACTTCATACCCGGATAGGTATTACCCGATCCGACCCACACTTAGTACGAGACATATATTAATATTGAGATATTCACCTCCACCCGTTTGCCATCACTATGTCACATTAACATTTCAGGAATCTTTTTCCCGTCAAAGGTGCAGTCTTGTTGAAAAACCAAAACCGGGATTTTGACAGTAGAATACACTGAGAGGTGGTGGCTTTCAAAAACTTGGAACACATTAAATGAAACATAACATATAGCTCCAAATCCAATTGTGAGACTGAGAGTTATTTCTTCGACCCTTCCTTCCCCTCCCTCCAGCTTCCCCGAACCAACCCTTGAAGTCAGCATTAGTAAGTCTCTGCCCAACTTTTAACCGGAAAATTCTTTGTTTGGAAAATTTCAGTACTTTGGAATTTTGGATTCATGGAGTCAAAGGCACCATCTTTGATTTTTCAAACAGCTCCCTCTGCCCCCACCCCCACCCCTTATTTAAACTCCCACCCTCCACTTGAACTGCTCTGATCCATCCATCCATCAGTTTCATCATCAATTTCTGCTTGCCCCTGCCTGCCAACTACTTTTCTTCCCATCCATTCAGCTTATCTTAGCTTAGCTTAGCTTCCTTGAACTCCAACACAACACAATCAGTCTCTTCTCCTACTGTGTTCCCAAGGTGAGGAAATTTAATTAATGCCTTTCCCTTCCTAACCTAATTTACTGCTAGCCACCTTCAGCTGATGATTGCATGTGATCACTCCTTCCTCTTTTGCTTCCTTTCTTTTGGGTTGTGTTTTTCTGTATGGTTGCTGTTAATCATCTTCATCAGTTCTCCTCGATCTCCAATATTGTTCCCTTCCCGCGATCGATCACTCTTGTCAGCAAATGCACCCTGTAGCTAGCTACTGAATTGTTCATGTCGCTAGCTAGCTAGTGAAAATATTGAAATACACAATCTGGCTCTGCTTCCTTCCTTCCTTCCTGTGATTGAACATTGGAATGGAAGGCCAAGCTGCTTGCAATTGTGTTCCGAGTTCTATATCGATCGAGTTGACCGGGAAGCAGGGTAGTGGTTGGTTTCTGTCGATCGAGTTGAGTCACCGAGTCAGAACTGAGTTGGTTCATCTCCTCCTGAGATGGAATCTCGACCGTCAGATAATTTCGTCGTCGGCGTAACTCCTCTCATCTACTCTTCTCCCAGTCGCTGTCTCGCGTCTGTGTGTGTAGTGTTTGTTTCTGTAATATTTATTTCGTTTGCCTGCCCTCTTTCTCCCACCCTCCATGACGTGTCCTTGTCTGGCGGCTTTCTGTTCTCTGTCCTTTTTTGTTTGATATTATTATTTAATGTATATACGTTTCTTTCGACGTACGGATTGCTAGTATTATTAATATTATCTTATGAATTCGGGGTTGATATAATGATATTATTAAATTAACTACCGGTTCGTATTTTTTATATATATATGGAAATGGTCATTTCCTTCCCACTTCGTTGACAAGTAGCCAAACGACAAAAAAAGTAGCCAAAAACTCAACCACATTTGACTGAGATATATATAAACGAACAAAATAGTCATTTATTTAATTTATCACTTTTGGCAGGTTTAGCCACACCGATTAACGGGATGGTCGTGGTGAGATCGCCAAGCTTCGGAAGGTTAGAACATGCAAAGAAACCTCTTGCTCTCACAGCCAAAAACAACAACAACACGATCATCATGGCCAACAACCAGCCCCAGGTTCTGGGAAGGTCAATGAGTTTCAAGGACTGGGAGGAGGAGGAGGAGGACTGCATTCACAACAACAACAACACCAACATGATGACCAAGAAGAAGCAAACCTCGTCATCGTTAGCGATGAGCATAAAGAAGCCGAGCATTGTGGTCCCCGAGCCGGTGGCGTTCTTCTCCCCGCGGCGGCCGGCCAGCGAGCTGGACGCCGCGGCGACGACGGTCCAGAAGGTGTACAAGAGCTACCGCACCAGGAGGAACCTGGCCGACTGCGCGATCGTCGCCGAGGAGCTGTGGTGGAAGGCGCTGGATTTCGCCGCCCTGAGGAGGACCTCGGTGTCCTTCTTCCACGGCGACAAGCACGAGACGGCCGTCTCCAAGTGGTCCCGCGCGGCCAAGAGGGTCGCCAAAGTTGGCAAGGGCCTCATGAAAGATGACAAGGCGCGGAAGTTGGCGCTGCAACACTGGCTCGAAGCGGTATGTACATGTGTCAGATGGATTAATTAAATTAAATAATTAATATTTATTATGATTAATTAAAGAAGTGATTAATGTTGTATTATGTTGCGGTTTCCAGATCGACCCACGCCATCGATATGGACACAATCTCCACCTCTACTACGATGTCTGGTCTGGTACCAAAAGCACCCAGCCTTTCTTCTACTGGTAAATAATTTCATTTCCACCAAATATTAATTAATGCATTCCTATCCTAATATTAATATATATGTAGTAATAATGAGATTATTAAGAAATTTGTTGGAATATTATTCATGAAATGACCTAGTGGCTATATATTTTGGATTGTATGTTGCAGGTTGGATATAGGAGATGGGAAAGAGGTGAACCTGGGGAAATGCCCGAGGGTCAATCTGCAGAAGCAGTGTATTCAGTATCTTGGGCCGGTGAGTAAGCCATGTCATGCATCCGTCAATCCCTTAATTTATTATATGGACTTTATATATTTTCACGGATTAAAATTATCTGTTATTATTATTAGATTAAATAAATTTTATGGTTGGGTAGGAGAATTAAGAACTGGGGTTCCACTCATTAGAGATTATGATATAGTATCATGAATCAAACTTCGACTAGTTCATGATCTAAATAATAATAAAGCGCAGTAAACGTACAATAAGATTAGTGTACGTACGCCAGACATACGCTAGACTGAACCATATATAGAACTAGATCAAACAAGCATAGAATTGATCACTATCTGCGTGCAATTGCAGAAAGAGAGAGAAGCTTATCGAGTGGTTGTGGAGGACGGGAAGCTGGTCTACCTCCAATCAGGAACGCCATTGACCACAAACGAAGAGTCAAAGTGGATATTTGTGTTGAGCACAACCAGAAACCTGTACGTCGGGCAGAAGAAGAAGGGCAAATTCCAACACTCCAGCTTCCTCTGCGGCGGGGCCACAACTGCCGCCGGAAGGCTCGTTGCCCACCACGGCGTTCTCGAGGTTCGACCCCACTTAAAACCCAATTTTTTTTAACTAACAGTATTACTATATTGCCCTTATATCTGTACTCACTCTCGTAACTAAAATATAACAGGCAATCTGGCCGTACAGTGGGCACTACCTCCCAACAGAGGAAAACTTCAAGGAGTTCATCGGCTTCCTCGATGAACACAACGTGGATTTGACCAACGTCAAGGTACCATTCCCGTTTCTTCATAATTATTAACATCTAAACTATGAAATCAAATTAAAGTAATAATAAGTAAGCATTTTTATTGTTAACAGAGGTGCTCAATAGACGAGGACAACATATCGATCATTCCAGAAGAACACAAAACAGAAGGGGAGTCGGTGGCAGAGTTAAAGGAGGAGGAAGGAGTTGTTGATGTTTCTGTGGAAGGGAAAGAGGCAGAGGAAGCAGAAGCGGCGATGGCGTTGGTGGTGGAAGAAGCGAAGGCCGGAATGTTTGACGCGTCGAGGAGGCTGTCGTGCAAGTGGAACAGCGGAGTTGGGCCAAGGATCGGGTGCGTGAGGGACTACCCACTCGAGATGCAGTCCAGGGCCCTCGAGCAGGTCAACTTGTCTCCCAGGCCAAGTTCAGATTACTCACACAATCGGCCCATTCCTTCCCCAAGGCCCAGCCCAAGGATTCGACTCTCCCCTCGACTTGCTTACATGGGCCTTCCTAGCCCAAGGGTTTCCGTCGCCTCTGCCTAATAAGCTCCTCTCTTCCTGCTACAACTATCTTCCCTCATTCCAACACCTCTTGCTCTTTTGTTTCTCGTTTCTTTAATTCTTTCTTTCGTTTTTTTTTCCTAACTTTCTAGATTGTTAATTTTGTTCCTTAATTCTTTTCCTCCCTTTATCGATATTGAAATCTTGATAATAAGATGTATTTTAGGGATAAAGGTGTCCTAGTTCTAGGGAGCTTCTATTACTTGTAACTCAAGTAACTCCTTTAATCCTGGTCTTAGTGGTGTTGCTCTTTGTTGTAATCTCGAGTTATAAATACCCTGCAGCTTCCTAATAATACAAACCAGGTTCAAACTTTATTGTGGTATCAAAGTCTTATTGTGTGTTAGAACACCAAAATCCACATATCAAAACTGAGAGTTGTTATGTTCTCTCTTTATCCTCAATATTCGGTCCTCTGATTGCTTTGACCCCTAAATCTGTGAGCTTCGCTCATCGGCGCATCATAGAATAGCAAAATCAGTGGTATTACCATTGGGTCAAACCATTGAGACATAGGAAACTTAGAGATGAAATTTGGGCTATGGCCCAAAGAATTGGCAATAAGAAACGAGCTTTTACAAAGAGGCAGTGCAATAGGATATGTATGATGGCGTTGCAATTAAGATGCTAATGAAATCTGGTCATTGCTTCTTGCTTCGGGGGGACCGGGCGTGCATGGAATGGGTGGCTAAGGTGACAAAGAGTGTGGAGGCTGTGGAATTTGAAGATTGGGCAATGGTGCTATGCTATGGATGTTGTGGAAGGAACGTAACGCCCATTGTTTCAACGGTCAGAAGATGATAGAGGATGAGATCATTCCGCGTGCGCGAACTCTCCTGGACGAATATAGGCAGCAACAAACGAAGATGGAAGGAGAGCCACCTGCTCAGAGAGTGCGGCAATGGGTGAGGCCAGAGGAGGGAAGAATCAAAGTGAACACAGATGTGAGTTTTTTCGGTGGGGGTACAGGTATGGGGGTTGTTAGCCAGAACCACCATGGGCATTTCGTGTTGGCGGCAGCTAAGAAACTTCGTGGGACTGTATCACCGGAGATGAGTGAAGCGTTGGCAGCAGAGTTCGGGTTACAACTCGTCCGCCAGCACCAGCTTGGTGACCTGATTCTGGGGCTTGACAGCCTAACTATAGTCAAGGCGATTGAGGAAGCAAAGGAGAACTTAACGGAGCTGGGTGTAGTTTGCCGTAACATTGTGAGATTAATGGATGGAGGACAGCAATGAATTGTTCGACTTGTCCCCTGCGAAGCGAATAGTGTGGCGCATGCTGAGACTCGATGAGATTTGGCGTAAGTGGTCGATCCGACCACCGATATTTTTGCTTGATAAACTTAAGCTTGATGATGTACTAGCCTCCATTGTTTAATGCTAGCTCTGCGCAGGTTACTATATAAAAAAAATCTGGATCGAAAGACCACATATCTTTATTTTTTTTATATGTTACTGTCAGATTGTAATCCCAATATGATTAACTTAATAAACAAATAAAAAAATCATATCTACTTAGTCACAAATTATGTATTAGTGACTAAGTGGATATGATTTTTTTTGGGTAGGATGATATGATAAAAAATTATCCTACCAAAAAAAATCATATCCACTTAGTCACTAATACATAATTTGTCCAGCAACCAACGAATACATGACATTATAAAAAATTATACACTTACTTTTGCAGCCACGTGTGAAGAATTACTCGGCAGGAAAATCCTCTGAAGCCTGCAACTTCGATGGGAAGAAACCTAGAATTGAGGGATCAAACAAGGAATCTGACAAAATGCAAGGACCAGCTTTGAGATTATTTCAAAGAACAAATTCTGAGACATCACTTCACATGGTCTAGTCCAGCAAAAATTGGCAAACTGAGCTTCATTTAGTAAGGTAGTCAAAGAACTAGCCAACTAATGACAGGGTGGATGAATATCACGAAGCTCTTGTTGTACAATGGCTATGTGTTGGTTGTACTCCTCTAACATTGTAACCCTCTCCTGCTGACAAGCAAGTAGGCTAACAAAAACAAAAATCATTCCACCTAAAAACCACCCCATTCCATGAACTTCTTGACTTCATCATACAAAACAAGTATAGCAGCGGCACCAGTGCTTCTAAACATGTTGGAAAGAGCACCACGGTAAAATGAAGCTACTCCTTCTGTCCTGTAAATTGTTCTCCAACAGTCACCTGTGTTGCGGTACATTGGTTGCTCCGACCCAGATTGCATCATCATTCGCCTCCGAACTGTATCCAATGGATAGGAAAACAATCCAGCAGAGGTTGTTACAGCCTGAGCCACCAACCAGCGCATCCACAATGGCAGTTCGGGTTTGGCTTCTTCACACAAGATCTCCTTCATTGTATCAAACCCACCAAAATACAAACCTCGATGGACGACCATCCCTTGTAGCGAGGCAGGAAGACCTCTGTATATACCGCGAATTCCCTCTTTCTTTCTTATGGTTGTAAGGAAATGATACACACCTTTGAACTCACGAACATCAGTTCTGCCAATGTCAGCAGCAAGGCGTGTGTGTGCGATATCTAGTGGGTATATTATGATCAAAGTTGTGCAGCCTGCAGCAGACCCAGCAATGAAGTTGGCTGATGGGCCGGCAAAAAATTTCCCATCTTGACCAGGACTTCGTAATACGTTTCTGTACAAATCCTGCAAGATGCAAAATCCAAGGAAAAGAAATCACGGGAAGAATTCGTCCAGGTAAAGCAATTCCTGGTCTAATCAGCCAAAGCTAAAGCAGGATCAAAAGATTCGTTTTTTGGATTGATCATGTCTTATTACATTTCACATGTTTGTTTTAGGCTAGATCCTAACGGGAACACTAAGATTAGACATTGTCACTCAAATCATAATCCAATTACTTTACTGAAATTAAGCCTTACAGGCAAGCATGACTGCTTCATGCAAGTTTCTGGTGTCATTCGACTTTCATATCTCTATTAAAGCTTTTTAATCTACTTTGACACATATGAAATTAAACAGTAACAGATAAGCCAGGTTTTCAAACAAAAAGAGAGAAAAAAACAACAAATGCATCCATAGGTACACTGCTTTTCTTCATTCTAATTATTTTAGCAATTTAGCTCAGTTGAAGGAAACCCTCTAGCTAACTAATGTAGGCCTAGTGTCCTATGAAATCTGATGACCAGTTTTTGACCACCTCGTGACTATAGAATGACCAAGTAATTTGGGGTTAGAAGGAGGAAAACATTGTTCCTACCACACGCAACCTGAAAGAATACTTTCTATTTTACTCTGAACAGGGCCACATTATATGCAAATGCAATGTTATGCTTCCATCTGTTTGTAGAAACAATCCTAGGAAAGACACTAACCGACCTACATACTAAGCTATTGGGAGGTCGCCTCTTCAGGCCTTCAATTTGCCGCAGCAGGATTTGAAAAAGGAATTGATCGTGATTTTGAACCTGTTCTTTCCATGACCCCTCTTAACTAACTGAGTGGAGACAAGAGATCCAATACTTGGAGCAGAACTCACTTTGATTCTACCGTACAGATTGATTGGTTCGATTGGGTTAGACTAAAAAAATCTTGCTTTTCAACTCATTTAGGTCCCGCCTAGCCCATAATACCCACTTCATTTTGATAAGCTCCTTATGCTATGGGGTATGACTACCATAAGCATTCTATCCAGAAGAGGTTCCAAGGCAACTGACTAAGCGGATAAAGCTTCACTGCTTCAGAAACCAATTCAAGGACTCTTGGTGTTATCACGACAAACTTGAAACAATAATAACCTGCCTTCAAACATCCATCAGAAGGTGACTACAGAAACTTTCTGCTATATCCCTTTTGTTGCAGCATCAGGATCAAAATCCTGCCACACACAACCTGAAAAACATTCACTATTTTTCGTCGAACAGGGCCACATGTATGTAAATGCCAGTTTATTGCTCCATCTAATTTGTCGGGACAATCCTAAAACAGATACTCACCTCACTACATACTAACCTATTAGACATTCACCACTCCAGGCCTACAATTTGTTAACTTGTCTAGGATAAGTAGTTTCCACCTGCACCCGATTCTTCCATTCACTTTCTCTTCAAGAGGCCCATTAATACCCGCTTCATTTTGATAAACACCTTAATGACATGGGGTATGACTACCATAAGAATACCGTCTGGAAGACATTCTCAGGTCAACTGAGATAAGCTGATCAAAGCTTCAGAAAAACAATTCAAGGATTTTTGGTGCTATCACGACACGCTTGAAACAATAATAACCAGGCTTCAATATCCATCAGCAGGTGACTAGACAAACTTTATTGTCTATACCCATTGTGGCAGCATCAGAATCAAAAACCAACTTTTGCAACTCTAATACCTTAAGTATAAGGGAACCTCACATTTCACCACATCCTGTTTCAGGATTCTGCACATTAATCTGTTTATATTTTATGAAAGACAGCAGCCAATGTATTGTTGATGAAATCTAAACTACTGGCCTGTTTCTCACAAATAAAGCCGTATAAGGATATACTAGACAACACAAGTTCTCCTAGACAAAGGTCATATTTTGGAAAGAACCATCTGTGAACCTTCCCTTGCTTAGAAAAAGAAGCATTTGACAGCTTTTGGGTAGGGTTTCAAAAGCAGTTGATCATATGAAGAACTCTACATCACCAGCTAAGCAATCGTGTCAGGAATTTTAAATTAAAGTAAGCGTCAAAAGAACCCATTAAGCACGCATAGATGCCTAACCAGTAACAGGCGTAACTTAGAACCATGCATAAGTCATGATAGAAATGATAAGGACTTAGATAAGAGGAGGACCAAGAGCCCATATCGTAAGTGCCGTCATATTCCTTGGTTATGACTTACTATCCTCGAGCATGGTTCATGTTGCAACGTAGAAATGAAACAAAAACCTTCTTCCCTTCCAAAAAAAACATGCATCTTTACATGAACAGACATAAGCTCGATAGCCAGGCAAGCTGAAGGAACATAAATCGTAATGAAACAGAGAATTCAGAAGTCTCAACTTGACTATGATGAACATGGCAAACCGCCCCCCTTCACCAACACCCACACACGTGTTTCAACTATCTATCTCAAACGTCAGATAAATAATCCCACCATTTGTTATAACTTTGAGACACTATATCAACCACCTCAAGTGCAAAATATCACAAACCCAACAGAATCAGACAAAAAATGAAGGAGGTTTCTGATTAGTGTGTACCTTGAGAGAGAAGTTGAGAGCAACAGAAGGATAATAGCGAAGGACGCTACTGCCATTGCCTCTCCAGAGTGAGAGAATTCCTTCTTCCCTCACCGTTCGGGCAAGACAATCAACCATGCCCTTGAATTTCCTGTGACCGCCGCCCAGAATGGCCATGTTGCTCTCTTGGGTCTGCAACAATAGCTTCGTTCTTTCTATAGGAGCAACAATGGTGTGGACCACCCCAGCCATCACCGCCCCTGCCATCAGGTCTCTGGGAAAGCTCACTAACCATTTGTGAGGGCCAGATGTCGATTGTAGGTCAGATACGCTCTTGCTTTCTCCTGGGTCGCTGTCACCTCTGCTCATTCTCCCCGATTCCTTAAGTAAGAAGACGAACGGGAAGCCGTTTTTCTCGTGTTATGGCCGAAGTCGATGCTTCTAACAGACTCCCTCTATCTCAAAGCATCGTCATTTCATTCCGTGTCGAACCATCACAATTCAGGAAACCCCCCTCAAATCGGGAAGCAATAAGAGAAAAGAAATGATTCGTCTCCTTCCTTATCCATGTGCAGAAATGGCGGACAAATTCTGAATGATCCGTTCCATTACTTGAGAATCAATGGCGAAAGATCACCTTTTGTCGTGATGGCCCTGGAGAACTCGGAAACCTAGCCAAAATTGACGGCGGCGTCGCTTTCGTACGCGGTAGAGATGAAGGAGAAGGTGCTCGTTCGTTGTGACTGGGATGCGATTTCTTTCTGGTTCTTTTCTTTTCAACAATTAAAAATGACCATTGAGATAAGGATCTATTTCGCCTCTCCCTGATCAAAAGGTGTCAGAACGTGTTTAAATGGTTCCTTGGCTTTGTTTTAGTTGATGAAAAAAATATCCGGTGGATATTTATCAGAGTCTGATTTAATTGGGCAGATTAAAAATCGAATTTAAAATATAGTATTCTCACTATCCAACTAGAATTTGTTAATATTATATTTCTGGAACTAATCGGGAGAACCTCTAAAAAAAAAAATTGAATGCTCTCTCCTCTCTCCTGGAGTTTGGCCGTCTCATCGGCCGGAAGATATTTGCGCTGCTGCTGGAATTGATAGTAGTTAGCCTGTGCAATCAGGGAGAAGCTGTGAGCTATGAAGATTTCGATAGTGCTTCCGCTAACCTGCAAAGCCGTAGAGAAGCTAGGAGTGAAAAGCGATCGGAACCGGATCAAGATGAAGGGTTGGTTATTGACCCAGGGGGATGGTGGCGACGGTCATCTATTTCTAAAAGTTCTCGAGCGATGGCAATGCTAATAGGTATTGCCGGCTCGGGTGATCGGAAAGTGCTCAGAATATCCAGAGTTTGGATGGGCCAAAAACGGAAGCAAGAATGCCTCCATGGTAAAATGAAGAATGTGGCACAAGACAATAAACGTGCCAAACGTACAGTAATTGAAGTGTGGAGATTCACACTCCCATCCTCTTCCAGCATTGAGGAGGATGAGGAAACCGACGCCCGAACGGCGGCGAATGCAGCTGTTAACACCCAAGTTAAACTGTCTGATCAAACAGTCAATAGCGCTGCGAGTTCCGGTTTAAGGCAATCACAGCGGTACGTTTGGTCGGACAAAAGGGCCGGTGAGCAGGTGTTGACATATGGGTATACCGGGGGTTTTCCGGTGATTCCTTGTCGGCGGTCGGTGGGTAAAGGAGGAAGGCCGATCAATAGAGACGTGTGGTTGAAGGAGAAAGAACAAAACGGGCAGCGATTTTCGGGGAGGATTGGTTGGCCCGGAATTGGGGGGATTCTATTCCCAAACCTGAATTTCAATCCATATCCTAAACCAACTAAGAGTCCTTCTCGAGTAATTATTCCTACTGCCCAGAGCCGTGTGTCTGAACGAGAGGATGGTTGGATGCTCAACTCTCACCCTTATTTTAACTGGCCCCCCAAACAGTTTTCCCACAACATATCTGTTTGTGGACTAGTTTGGACGACAGCTTTAGGAGGAGGGCTTCAACAGAGCGGGGTGCGACAATCAGGTCTGCAACTCACGTCCCCTCTTATTTCTTTTGATCACTCCCAACCTATCCCAACGCTGAGTAAACCGCCGACAACTAAGTTAACCTCGGCCCCTAGCCTAACCGAAAGCCAAGATGGCGGGATAGGGGAGGGGATAGCCGATAGTTTCCAATCTTCTAATACAATCATTGGTTTGGATGATTCACAGGTGAAGAACATGGCTCGTATCCAGCAAGACCAAGTCGTCCAGTTCACCTTGTCCGAAATCAAGCCAGTCAGGTTCCAAAGCTCATGTGCACTTGTGGGACGGCTGTTCACATCCAGCCAAGTGACGGCGGTGGAGCTCCGAGACTCTCTCAACTTCCCTTGGCAGCAGGGGAAGGGCAAGATTAGAGTCATGGCGGCTAAGCATGGACTGTTTGAGTTCGTGCTACCTAGTGAAGCGTCCCGGAACTGGGTGTTGAAACGGACTCCTTGGGTGATCAAGGACAAACTGCTCCATGTTCGTGCCTGGGCCCCTACTATTAGCAAGACGATTTTTGACGAGTTGGCAACCGTTCCTTTTTATGTCCAACTTTGGGGGGTCCAGGATGACTGCTGTACCAAGGAGTTTGGACGGAAAATGGCAAATGACACTGTTGGCCGTGTTCTTGAGGCAGGAGTGTTTAGCTGCTCGGAAACTAGCCAATGTTTTGTCAGGGTGAAGGCCATGATCGATTTTTCACAGCCTCTGCGATCACAAATCTTGGCTTCCAGCGAGGAAACGGGGTGTTTTTGGATCAATTTTAAATACGAACATCTCCCAACATTCTGCTTTCATTGTGGCCGTGTGGGTCATATGAAGAGTGATTGTTCTTTTGATCCACCAACCCGGAAGGAAAGATTTGGATCGCACATGGTCACAAAGAAAAGTGGTACTCGCCTTTACGAGGAGAATGATGATGTGAATTCATATCGCGGCGGTGTTAAATCCGTCTGGATTAATAAGGAGGTTCGGGAGAGGGCAGTCGCTATGGACACCCAGAAGATGAAACGTGAGGGAGAAGGGGGCGATGTTGAGAAGCCTAAGGTTCGCTCGGGGAGTCGGTTCCCGCAAGAGACGAGACATGAAGGGGCCACAGACAAGAGGCGGCAGGTCAAAACCACGCGTGGCTTCCCCATGAAAAGATCCCCACGTGTTCCCTTGGGTCGTGGGCTTCGTGGTTCTGTATCTGGAACGGAGGTAGCAGAGACTTCTGCCCAACCTCGGAGGGATTTGCAGCAGGGCAACCGCCAGAGTAAAAAAAATCGTACCCTCACAGCCAGCGGAAGAAATGCAGATCGATGAGACCCAGCCCCACTTCAGTTTGAAGGAGACTCAACGGAGGGATGATAGACCGCATAAGAGGGCGAATCAGAAGGTGAATCAAACAATGGAACCATCCCAAGTTATGACGCGTCCGCGCCGGCTGATTCTCGAAGAGGAGTCGGAGGACGAGCTCCCCATCTGCCGCCAGTCTGATCACCTCCAGTCTGATCACTCCACGCCAGCTGTGGTGCAAGTGGAGGGGGATCCGAATGCTGTGCCGTCGGGTAAAAACGTGGCGGTGAAGATGGCTGTGTCCGAGAAGCGGTCGGCTCGAAAAGAGCTCCCCAAATCGGCAGTGTGAAAGCTTCGTAAGGCTAAGCTGCCGACAGCCGATGATGGGCATGGCGGGGAGTCCAATCAGGGACAAGGAAATTGGTCTTCTAGGCAGAGCCCCATGCACGTGGAGACCGGAGTGCCATTGGGAGATGGAGAGAATCTGATAGACGTCCCTGATAGACCGATAATTACACATGTTTTCACCCCTATTATGAAGCCGTTTGTGATGTGGAATCTCGTGTTTTAAGCCGATTTCACGCTAGGTTGTGTGTTTATGTCATATTTCAGGACCCGGCGTTGGAATCGAGGCGGAGAAACGAGTTCTGGGTCGAAAGGAGCCGAGTTGGGACTAAGGGGGCTGCACGAGGAAAATACCCGGTCGGATGGCAAAATACCCGACCGGGTATTTATCGTTTTTGGCACCCGTGAGAAGCAGAAGGGGGCCCGGGCGATGGCCTTAAATCCCCGATCGGGGATTTGATGTTGGACCGGGGATTTTCCCCAAAGTGGAACGTCGCGTTTTATGAAATACCCGGTCGAACCCTGAAATACCCGACCGGGTATTTCGACCGGGGATCGCGAACGCAGGCTGTTAAAAGCCTGTTTTGTGCGTTTGTGAGGGGGAGAGCTGGGTTTTGGATCCCAAACACCCAAGGGACAAACCAAAGAGAGAGAGAGAGCGATTTGAGGGCATTCTTGGAGTGGAATTGGAGGATTTCTTCGCCATTGGAGCTCGGGAATCAAGCCCGGACTTGAAGACTGATCATCTTAAGATTCTTACTGCAGTCTCTCTCTTCTCTATGGAGTAACTTCCCTTCACTTAGGTTTTGAGGAACCCTAGCTATGTTTGTTTGATTGGATGATTGTATGAGTACTCTGACTTGATAATCTTGAGTTCATATTCAATCTATGCATGTTTTCACGATTCAATTCTGCTTTAGTCGAGATTATTGATTCTGCTTTGATCCTATGAGAGCGAATACCTGATTAGGTCAATAGAGCACCATAGATTGATAGTAGTGGATCGATTGCTTTAGTCGAGGGTTGATTCACTGCTTTGTATCAATTGGGAACCTCATTCGATAGAGGGAGTCTAGTTCAGAACGCCTTGATCGATTGTTCTAGAGAAGGATACGTCCCTCTAGGCAATTGACTCAAGAGGGCCTTGTTCCTTTAGTCGAGACTCAAGGTCTAGTCAAGGATTCTCCGCATTGTGAATGAAAGTGAAACTAGTTAGAGATCATCAGTCGTTAATCTGGCTAGTGGCTAGGGGGAATCATACCTAAGTGAGTTCCCAACCTGTAATTAGATTAACTTTAACTATAGTTTGCTAGAGTAGTCTTAGTTCTTTCATCTTAATCTGTTTTGCTAGATAATGAACCGAAGCTGAGTAATAGTAACTCTAGAGACCCGTGGATTCGATATTTATTACTTGAGCCACTATACTGCAGTCCCTTTCATTGGTTACACTTGGCCATTGTTAGGAGTTGTGTTTTAGCGAGTCAAGTTTTTGGCGCCGTTGCCGGGGACTTTCTAGAGTATTAGGAAAGGCAGAAGTTTGTTACTTTAGCGTTTTTCTTTGCTTTTCTTTTCCACCCTTGCTTTTCACTTGGGTGTTTTGTTTTTGTTGGTGCAGATCTGAATCATGGATCCTCATGGCTTCTCCAATCATTGGGGGTATCCACCACCGTCCGAGTGGTATTACCCCGAGACCCCCTGGAGCAACCAAGGAGGAGAAGACTATGGATCCGGGTTCCAGTACCAACCCCCTTACTACGGAGAACAATCTGACCCCTGGGCATATCAAGAACAATCTCATTACCAAGAAGACTTTCTCCCACAACTAGAAGGGCCATCAGCGCTGGAGTTACCCATGGCGGCCTTCACGGGCCATTCTGCAGAGCCATGCTACACTCCACAGCCAGATCCAAACTATGAATTGAGGCTTCTCATGGAGCAGTTTGCTCGAGACAGTGAGAGATCATGTGTCAGGCTGGATCTTTGTACACAGGCCTTTCGGGAAACAGAGGAGATCCTCATGAGCCTTAAGAAGAGCGTCGATGATCTTGAGAGAGCTTGTGCGCAACCTGCTCCAGATCACCCTTCTGCTACCATACTAGAAGAGGACGAGGAAGAAGAAGGCTACGAGGACATTGTGGAGCACACAGAAGTTG